ACGTTTCGGCCGTTGTACGCTCCAGCCTACATCAGGATCTGTTTGTATTTCTGAGTTGAGGTATTGTAACTATTTACACTATTTACATTGTTCAGAATGTTGTCCTCATCTTTACTGCCATATTCACGACGTTTCGGCCGTTGTACGCTCCAGCCTACATCAGGATCTGTTTGTATTTCTGAGTTGAGGTATTGTAACTATTTACACTATTTACATTGTTCAGAATGTTGTCCTCATCTTTACTGCCATATTCACGACGTTTCGGCCGTTGTACGCTCCAGCCTACATCAGGATCTGTTTGTATTTCTGAGATGAGGTATTGTAACTATTTACATTATTTACATTGTTCAGAATGTTGTCCCCATCTTTACTGCCATATTCACGACGTTTCGGCCGTTGTACTCTCCAGCCTACATCAGGAAACTTTTTATATTTGAGTTGAGGTATTGTAACTATGTACACTATTTAAATTGTTCAGAATGTTGTCCTCATCTTTACCGCCATATTCACGACGTTTCGGCCGTTGTACGCTCCAGCCTACATCAGGATCTGTTTGTATTACTGAGATGAGATATTGTAAATATTTACACTATTTACATTGTTCAGAATGTTGTCCTCGTCTTTACTGCCATATTCACGACGTTTCGGCCGTTGTACGCTACAACCTATATCAGGATCTGTTTGTATTTCTGAGATGATGTATTGTAAATATTTACACTATTTACATTGTTCAGAATGTTGTCCTCATCTTTACTGCCATATTCACGATGTTTCGGCCGTTGTACGCTCCAGCCTACATCAGGATCTGTTTGTATTTCTGAGTTGAGGTATTGTAAATATTTACACTATTTACATTGTTCAGAATGTTGTCCTCATCTTTACTCTCATATTCACGACGTTTCGGTCGTTGTACGCTCCTGCCTACATCAGGATCTGTTTGTATTTCTGAGATGAGGGATTGTAACTATTTACACTATTTACATCGTTCAGAATGTTGTTCTCATCTTTACTGCCATATTCACGTTTCGGCCGTTGTACGCTCCAGCCTACATCAGGCTCTGTTTTTATTTCTGAGTTGAGGTATTGTAACTATGTACACTATTTAAATTGTTCAGAATGTTGTCCTCATCTTTACTGCCATATTCACGACGTTTCGGCCGTTGTACGCTCCAGCCTACATCAGGATCTGTTTGTATTACTGAGATGAGATATTGTAAATATTTACACTATTTATATTGTTCAGAATGTTGTCCTCATCTTTACTGCCATATTCACGACGTTTTGGCCGTTGTACGCTCCAGCCTACATCAGGATCTGTTTGTATTACTTAGATGTGATATTGTAAATATTTACACTATTTACATTGTTCAGAATGGTGTCCTCATCTTTACTGCCATATTCACGACATCAGGATCTGTTTGTATTTCTGAGATGAGATATTGTAAATATTTACACTATATATATTGTTCAGAATATTGTCCTCATCTTTACTGCCATATTCACGACGTTTCGGCTGTTGTACGTTCCAGCCTACATCAGGATCCGTTTGTATTTCTGAGATGTGGTATTGTAACTATTTACATTATTTACATTGTTCAGAATGTTGTCCTCATCTTTACTGCCATATTCACGACGGTTCGGCCGTTGTACGCTCCAGCCTACATCAGGATCTGTTTGTATTTCTGAGATGAGGGATTGTAACTATGTACACTATTTAAATTGTTCAGAATGTTGTCCTCATCTTTACTGCCATATTCACGACGTTTCGGCCGTTGTACGCTCCAGCCTACATCAGGATCTGTTTGTATTTCTGAGATGAGATATTGTAAATATTTACACTATTTACATTGTTCAGAATATTGTCCTCATCTTTACTGCCATATTCACGACGTTTTGGCCGTTGTACGCTCCAGCCTACATCAGGATCTGTTTGTATTACTGAGATGAGATATTGTAAATATTTACACTATTTAAATTGTTCAGAATGTTGTCCTCATCTTTACTGCCATATTCACGACCTTTCGGCCGTTGTACGCTCCAGCCTACATCAGGATCTGTTTGTATTTCTGAGATGAGGGATTGTAACTATGTACACTATTTAAATTGTTCAGAATGTTGTCCTCATCTTTACTGCCATATTCACGATGTTTGGGCCGTTGTACGCTCCAGCCTACATCAGGATCTGTTTGTATTTCTGAGATAAAATATTGTAAATATTTACACTATTTACATTGTTCAGAATATTGTCCTCATCTTTACTGCCATATTCCCAATGTTTCGGCCGTTGTATGCCTCGAACTTCTTCCATTGATATATGTTGAAATTTCAAACCAAACTCTTTATGTAATCAACGGAGGTAGATTTTTATAATTCCCCGTGCCATGCCGTTTTTTTTGGGAGGGGGGGATATTTCAGTATCAGTTAATTCCCTTTAGTAATTCAACTCCCCAAGATTTTGTCTCCTCTGCTGTGGCCAGGTATTGAACTCACAACTCTTTGGCACAAGTCACTTTTTGCATTATTCAACCAATGGGATATGTGTCCTTGTTAATCTACCCCCGTGTATTAAATAAAATGTTCTGTTCGAAATTCCAAAGTATATCACCTGAAGAAGGTCGGAGCGTACAACGGCCGAAACGTCGTGAATATGGTAATGAAGGTGAGGACAACAATCCGAACGATGTAAATAGTATAAATATTTCTCATTATTATTGCAATACTTTGTTCAAATCGTTAACGATGTGAAAGGGGTAATTCTACTGATATTTTATTGTCGTAGAACTCGCCATGAGCTTATTCAATAATTAACTTAAGAATTAAGTTGAATTAAAAGAATTGATTGGAAAATTAAAATCGGAAAACTAAATAAAAACAAAAAAAATCGTTTTCCAGTGTAGGTGTACGTTTCTACCGCTATGATGGTGCACTGACTGTCATGGAGGTGGGGACGATATCAGTGCAGTTATCTAACACTACCGTTACGGAACTCGTCGTGGCTTTCACACTGGAGGTGAAGTCGGTGGGTCGACCACCTGCAGACTTCTAATAACTGCAAATGTAGGGCAACAGAGAGAGACAGAGACAGAGATTAAAACAGACAGTGCCGTGTGTTAGCGAAACCCTGCCTCCCCCACCTCGCCGAAATGTTTGCGTTGTGTCCCTTTCTAAAAATAGTCCATGGTCACTCGGCATTCTTTGCTGTTACAAATTTCTATTCAAAGATCTAAGGACTTCACAATAAACTTTCCTTGTTCTACACATGTAGCTTTTTCGTGCAGTATTATGCACCAATTTGCAATGGTTGTCGTGACTGACGCCGAAAGAAAATTATTCTGATCTATTTTAGACAGCAGTTACAAAATCGCATTTTAATAAAAACTAAATTGTCACATGTCAGGTATGAGTAACGACCAGGTATGAAAACAAATTCTTATTGTATTATTTTCTTCAATCATTTCAGCCCAAGCATGGCAATAAAACCACTAAAACACTATTTACATTATTCGGACTATTGTCCTCATCTTTGTCTCCATATTTATTACAACGTTTCGGCCCTTTAGTATCTGTCTATATTTCAGAGATGAGGTATTATGTACACTATTTACATTATTTGGACTATGGTCCTCATCTTTGTCGCCTTTGTCGTAAAGCTGACCGTGCGGGAAGCATTGTGCACCTAGGTGCAACCCCGATACACTCAATGTTTGCCCCTGTGCCTTGTTAATGGACATTACAAAACAGACCATCACGGGGAATTGAGACCTCCTGAACGTGAAGGGAATGTCTTCACCAGAGGGGTACAGATGCATCGATTAACGTAGCCTCAATGAGGTTCGGAGATAGCGACTTCACATTCAAACGTGTGCCGTTGCATTGTTTTTGGGGAACCAAGTTGCGAAGGAGCATAATTGGAACCCCGACCTTCAAGTTTAGAACGTGAGGTGGAAGACCAGGAGGTTGGAGTGAATACAATAGTTCGATTGAATAGTTAACAACGTCCTCAGGGTCTGGTGTCCTATCGATGGATTTGTAGACTCGCTCTTCCCCTGGGATTTGTTGGTGAAGCTCGTCATTAATCGCATCAACAGTACAGTTTTTGGGGGCAAGAATGGCGCGTTGACTAAGCCATTCCATGTTACGGAAATTGGATTCGACGTTTGAGAAGACGCAGTTCACCAATTGAGAAGCTGTCTCGACAACTGTGCAAACGGATTCAATCGAAACCATTCCATTATCATCTGATGGCAGTCTACCTTCGCCCAGAACCAAAAGTCGCTGGGAAAACTCTGAGTAGGCGGTGTCACCCCTCAAGTGGTCACGCATGTTTGTGCTCAAACTTAGTGTCCTTACTTGGGACCACAAAGACAGGCTCCCACGACATCAGCCCTGTTACCTTTTGGAATGACAGACACTGTTTGTCTGAAATCACCTGATAGGAGAAGTGTGATACCCCCCATAGGACGATCTGAATCTTTGATGTCACGCAGGAGCCTGTCAAGGGCCTCAACTGCACCTTTATGGGACATGGTACACTCATCCTAAACTATGGCCCTGCAACGTCGAACAATCTCAGCTTTGTCAGAATTTTTTGAGATATTACAGATGGGCGTGGTCTCTTTTACCAAGTCGAGAGGTAACTTAAATGCTGAGTGCGCAGTCCTTCCTCCCGGGAGCAAAATAGCTGCTATGCCCGATGATACCACCGCTAGTGCGATATCACAGGTACGCCTGAGCTCGGCAAGTATGAGTTTAGTAACAAAGGTCTTACCTGTACCCCCGGGAGCATCGAGAAAGAAAATACCAGCCGTTTGGTACCGTACGGAGTCAACGATAGCATCGAAGGCTGCTCTCTGTTCAGGCAGAAGTTTAGGCATGTTCTAAATAAGCTCAAGCTCCTCGACGTTATATGACGTCTCCCTCAACAGATCAGTGGAAAGATCACTAACGTGTTCACGGTGTATAGGTTGTAAGCCATATGTCGCAAGTGTACTACCTCCTACCTCTAGAAGACTGTCTTTGAGTGCAATTAGTGCCCTGTTGTAAATTATCCCGCTGAATGTAACCTGGATGTCAGGATTATGGGACTGAGCTTGACGTAGGAAATCTTCTGACATGTGGTCTTTGTAGCGCTCCCATAAACAATTTGGGTCGGTTACTTCGTACCACTGAAGAAGTATTGCGAATAAATACCGGAGACAGCCAGGAGATATCAAAAGGACGCCCTCTGCTAAGGTAGAATCCCATTCCGTGTCATCTTGAAGAAGACCGCTCATAAAGCAGGCCTCCCGGAATGAAGGGTAGACATAACCTTCGACAGTTAAGAGATCTTGAAAGCTCTGCGGCCCAGATACCTGCTGAAGGAGCAGTCGGAGATAAAACCACTCCTGCTGGCTTGGTGGTACGGTGTAAACTCTGCCTAAGCAGCTGTCTCATTTTACTCCTGGCTGCTCTTCAACGTCCTGATCCGTTTTTTCTTCGAACCCAAGTATTTCCCGACCAAACATAGTAGGAAGGAACCTGGGGGTAGTGAAGTGTCTGAGAGAACGTGTCGTGAGAGCACAGTTAAAAAAAAAAAATAAGCGTAGTGTCCTTTGGATTCATTGCAATCTCGGCTGCATTTTCCTCCTTGAAATAGGTTCGACGAATGCAGCTATCGATTTTTTTTGCATGCTAGCATGCTAGTTAACATTCGTGTCAGTCAGCTGTTGGCTCTCACGCTGGCCAATAGAATCTTCCTGCCTATTCGTGGCAGCCAGCTATAGGCTCTCACTCTGGCCAGTAGAAAATGGCCGTAAACTACATGCAAACTGCCGTAGAAGACTGAAAAATCGATTATTTCCACTATAGATGGGAGCTGAGAAATGCAAGGTCAGTCTTGGCCTTCCCGCTAAGTTGGAGCATGTGCCTGTAAATTTTGGTGCAAATCCGTCGAAAATTGCGGCCGTGCATTCGTTACACACACACACACACATACATCCTGCCTTTTATAGATAGAGATATGTCAACATGCAAAGAGGTGACCTTTTAACCTTAAAATATTCCCCACCACCACCCAAAACAGAGGCTCCTCTTATACTTCGGGTATAAAATGTGAAACTTACATCCTGTGGTTTATGTTGTTAGCATGCAAGATTTTTGAGGTTAGGCTAACCGCTGGCTTTGTAACTATCGACACAAATATTTTCTACTAAAATAACTTAATTCACTTTATTATAATAAAATAGTAAAAGTGTAGTGTAATAAAAGTACTCTTACCTTATATAATATGTGCTAGGATTGCACGACAAAAATAAAACGCATATTCGTCAATAGGTAAAATCATCGTCACACACCGTAAGCCGTTTTTCCATTAAAATTTGAGTGAAAGGAAAATATATGGCCATTGAATTTATTTAATAAACTCACCACAATATATTTTAAAATACGATTGAGGGAGGTCATCTTGTACGGCGAATAGAGTCCGAAACCTACATTTTAAATTGAAAATTCGGGGGTCGTCTTATACACCCAGTCGTCTTGTACGCCAGCATATTCGGCAGGATTTATTATAAAGTATTGCACAAAGGTATAAAGTTTCGTATGATAATTATCATATATGAAATATAGTCAATAATCACCTCAGTAACTACTTGTATTCATTATCAACGGAAAGGTTTCCGGCGAGCTTTTCCATCAGCAAATGGATCAATAAGTTGAGGGGCACAGACTCTTTCAAATGACAACATAGATAATGAAGCTAATCTGTCATCCATCATTGTGGATCTGTGATGTGTTTTAATAAGTTTCAGTTTTCTGAAACGTCTTTCAGCATTCGCAGCTGCTACTGGGCAGGTTAATCAAATGTGTGGAGTACTTGTGACCGTCATATATGTCTCTAGCAGATGTGTTTTGCGATGATGGAATTTAGAAGATCGTAGACAGTTTTTCATCTCCGTTTCAAGAGAATTGATGTCTCCCGTTTTTTACATTATTTAAATTATTCAGACTATTGACCTCATCTTTGTCGCCATATTCATTACCACGTTTCGGCCGTTGTACGCTCTGGCCTTCTTCAGGTGGTTGGAATGTCGAACTGAACCCTTTATTTCGCTCACTGGGGTAGACTGTTCTAGTTCTACGTGCCATGTTTTAATGGATGTCAGTCATCAGTTATTTATCTCCTGTTAATTCCCCACTAAAATTTCTCCGCTCACACTCTTTGGGTCCTGTCACTAACTGACGCCTTTATCCACTGTGCCATGTGTCCTTGAGGAGAAAAGTATGAGTTCAATACCCGGTTAAGGCAGTGGAGAACTTTCAGAGGGAAATTAACAGGAGATAACTGATAACTGACATCCATTGTTAGTTCGTATCAAAGTGGCTTAAGACAAACGATTCTAGTTTTCCAAACGATGTCTGAGATTTGATTCATAATGGTGCTAGACAATTTTGCTCGTCAGAGTCTTACATATTTATAAGTCGACCACACGTCTTTGATTTGAATATTGCTGCTACATCTGATCTGACGCTCCTGCTATATGTTTAGAGATTCTTGATATAATCCAAAGAAAGATCTGCCATTTATAAACAAAAGTTTATTCTCGGTTTTAAAAATCTTTCAAAAATAAAATATATATTTCGGAAACATAATTCTAAGAAAATTAGCAAATTTAAAGTTACACTAATCTGATTTGTAGCACATATTACTTATAGCATAAAATGTTGTATACAAACATTTCTTAACTACGGGATCTTGTCTTTCTGACGTGTTAATCGATTTTTTGACAATCAAATGAAGGCCGAACGTGCTCATAGTTAAGTATGGTGGAGCAGACGATAAAATTTATATGAGGATTTTTTCCGTAAGTTTGGGAGGAGGGTTCAATCCTTAAAACACGTCACCTCTTAAAGATAATATTGGGCCTGGATAATTCTGCACGTATATACACATACAAAAGCAAATCGAAATTCTTTTTAAAATATTCAGGGTCGTCAGATTGTAATAATCTTTACAATATATAATTAGCAAATATAGTTTTACTTAACGATATTTCCTAAGAGTTATCACATTGAACTGAATTTTAAAAGATTTAAATAATTTATAAATTATTCAATTTAAAATCGTCAAAAAAATGAGGACAAATCTTGTAAAAATTAATTTTTCATCAATTTGTTTTTCTTCAGACAATTAATAAACCCTGGAAATTTGATTAAATCAGACAATGATTTGATTTTTGAAAGAATTTTCAAATTAATATCTGTCACTGCAAAAAAAGAGGCTAAAATTTGCTCTGCAAAAAATTAGTAAAATCGGCAGCGCAAGAAAAACAAGTTTTTTAATCGAAATTTCGAATATTTTTAGAATATTCGAAATTTCGATTAAAGAACTTGAGTAAAAAAGGAGTAAAAAGTTAATTAATTAATCAAAAATATATTGATCTTTCTTTTTAATAATAACATAACGATTTTGACGATAAAACTATGTTGGAGCATGTTTTCATCACGGTATGCTGATTTTTAGCGATTTCGTGTAAGTACCTCATAATAATTTTCCTTGGCCTTCATATTTAAGTAAAGATGTTTAAAAGAAAGGTTGCTGCCCAAATATACATTGATATATATATATATATATATATATATATATATGTGTGTGTGTGTGTGTGTGTGTGTGTGTGTGTGTGTGTGTTTTTAATTAGTGTGTCCCTATGTTTTTGAGCACATATGGCCCAGTGGATAAAAGTGTTGGTTGAATCCGGTGACTTGAACCAAAGAGTTGTAAGCTACTCATCAGATATGAAGAAAAGAGAGATTGGAGTTAAAAGAGAGATAACTGATACTGAGGTACCCGGAAGAGGCATGGCACGTGGAACTAGAACAATCTACCCCGGTGGACGAAATAAAGGGTTCGGTTCAAAATTCTAATCACCTGAAGAAGGGCGGAGTGTACAACGGCCAGAACATAATGAATATTGCAACAAATATGAGAACAACAGTCTGAACAATGTAAATATTGCAGTTAATATATATATATATATATATATATATATATATATATGTGTGTGTGTGTGTGTGTGTTTTGTTTAGTATAGAATAAATCTCTTATTGTTTTCGATGTACTAGTAACGATTTTTATGTTGAGTTTAGAGAGATTCTTTTCGATTGTAGATGTGAGAGAATTAGTCGGCAGGATAATATATTTTTTGATTCATTGGTTTCTCAGGAGGGGCTGCTTTTTGTTTTGGAATATTTTACAGGCATTTTGTTTCGAGTTGAATATAAAATAATTAGATGTACTGGAGAAGTTTTCAAGTGTTTTCAATGTATTTCTCTACTTCGTGTAAATAATCCGAGCGGGATATTCTTAGAGCTCTTGGGTAGACTCCAGGGATTATGCTGGATTTTATTTTGTTGTTATGATGGGAATAGAAATTTACTAGTTTTTTTTTGTTTGATTTTCGGTGGATACCGAGTTTTAAACTGTTATTAATACGGCATAGCTTGATATCTAGAAACGGTAAGGAATTGTGTTCTTCCATTTTGTATGTAAATTTTATTGTGTGTTCGACTTTGTTTAGTTGATCTATCAGGTCAGGTAAATCAGTATCAAGAGGATATATAAGTAGAGCATCATCTATATAATCGAAGTATGTTGGGTGAAATATTTTGGAAAAGACCAGATTTGAGAAATTCTAAGTAGGTATATGACATCACTCCAATGAGACGCAATCCCATTGGTAATCCATATTTTTGTTTGTAACAGTCATTACTGAATGTAAAATAGCTTTGATTGGTGATGAGACGGCAGATTTTTTATTATTTTAGCTGTTGGTAGAGAGATAGCTTTATCTTTGATTGTTTTAGATACTTTTTAGGTGATTTAGGCATTTTTCGACTACGACATTGGTGTAGAGGCATTTTATATCTAGACTAGCCATGCCTTTGTCAGTCATAATCATTTCCCTTAGTTTTATTGTCTGAGTCTTTTGTATGAAATAAAGCGATTGTTCCAAGGAGAGGGGTTAGAATTTTGTTATGGCTTTAGCCAGTTTGTAGGGGGCGCTGCCTATTCTTGAGATAACAGGGCGCATTGGGTTACCAATTTGGTGGGGTTTAGAAAAAGTAAAGTTTGTGTGTTTTGGGTTCATATTCTACGAGTCTGTACCTGGGGTAATATTCTATGAGTCTGTACTTTACTTATCGTTATATATATATATATATATATAAAAGTGAAGATTGAAGACAACACTCAGACGCGACAGGCTGTTTCATGCTAGACGCAATCGTCAGGCCGCCTGACGATTGCGTCTAACATGAAACAGCATTGTCCTCTGAGTGTTGACTTCAATTTTCACTATTATATTTATATTTACATACGCTCTATCTCGGATAATGAACACTTTATCCCATAAATATAGCACACTTTAAAACTATATTTATGCATATATATAATTCTTTCGTCTCAGATGCTACCTGAATTTTACCAAAAACAAAATTTCCATGCCTGAAGATGACTGAATGCACGGTTGAAAGTACTTACGTATTAAAGATAGACCTTATACAGCTTATAATTTTTAAAAACAAGGATCATAACATTCATCGAGTGATTTGTAAGTTAATGCGCCTTTAAAATTTTGTTTGCGAGGGATTTCCCCATTATATATATATATATATATATATATATATAATTTTCTTCGTTCGAAACATTTCCTGTAAAACGATATTTAATGAATTACTAAATAACATAATGTTTAAAGATAATTCGAAACTAAATAGTTAAATGAATCGTGATCATAAAAAAAGGATTTATATAGTAATTCTTGTAGTCTGATGAGCACCTGTATCAAGAGCAGAGTGACTAACTAGTTCGGTGGCTTAGGTAGTTGCGTATCAACCGCAAGTAATAGGGTCCAGTGTTCAATCACTTGTTAAGAACCCGGATGTTGCATTCTGATTTTCAAAATTTCAGCACTTTGACGATTAATGCCATACGATTCTTTCTTTAATTATTCCTCTCTTGGCTTTGTGACATTCTAACGTGGACCGAAAGTCTTTTGAAGTTGAAATCGTTTGGCTAGTTGGTGTGTATCGATCTCAATCAATCTCATGCCCGAGTTTCTTTCAACAGTGAAAGATTTAACGATCTGTCGTTCGTCCGACCAATTAATCTGAAAATCTCATTTCAATGAACAGATAATAATTTTCCCAGGGTTATAAAGAGAAAACAAATGCAGCCAGTTTTTCGTAATTGTTGATAATACATCCATAAGTAGAATTCTTTGACGTGAAAACAAACAAACAGATGTTTAGTTATTGAATATCGACTTTGATTCGTTTACAATTCAGGGCTAAATATGATTTTTTTCCTTTTCATTTTCTGGACGATTCCCATAGGCATTAAATAAATGCGATCTTCATTACGTAAACGCGACGATTTTATATTCTTGTAATTTCGAGAAAACTGGCGCTCGCCCCACACACTACTCTAGGCGCATCAAAGTTGGCTTTTTCAAACAAAAAAAATATCTCTTATTGTCACATATTGGCCAAGGTCGACCTGACAATTGTGTAAGTGTGGGTGATGAAGAACAAAAGAATTTTGTTCATCTGAAAAACGTAATTGTCATTTTGCCGCCGCTTACAAGCTATGGTTCAAGAGCGGTTTTTTTTTAAATATTTATATTCTTTTATTAACCCCTTCCCCGCTAATTATTTTTGGAAAAAAAAGTTTCATTTTGAGACGAATCATTTTATTTGTTTTTTAATATAGTAAGAAACTGAGGCATCTTAAAGTACCCGAGGGGTGGCTAATATCTTTACCAGGTGTATGAGCTGACAGTTGAACTCGTTTCAAGTTCAGAAAGGCATACAAAAATCAAGATCGACGTATAAACACGTCTGTAGCTGGTTTTTGAACGTGTAAATTCGTTCGTGTCTGAAAAGAAACTTTCGGTAAAAAAACGTATATACCCGTCTACGCCGAGGAAGTGGTTAAACATTAAAAATTACGCCAAAATCACATAATGGGAATACACGAGCCGCCTTTTTTGTACAGTATAAGATTAAATTCCAAGAGGTGTCTTTTAGGGATGAAGCATTGCCTGTTATCGATGGCGGGGTATACGATGCTAATCGTGGCAAGCAATTTTAGAGAGAGAGAGAGAGAGAGAGAGAGAGAGAGAGAGAGAGAGGGAGAGAGAGAGAGAGTTAGAACAGCGCTACTCTGATGAAGAGAACTCTGGGACATTATTTCCTGCGTGGAAGCAGTGGGTTCCTTACCATTCTCATAAGAGATGCATAATCGATCACTAAAATACTTATTAATTAGATTTAATGAAATCATAGCAACTGAAATAATTCAGATCTTGAGAAAAAGGTTAATGTCTTCATATCAGCGACATATTGAATCATTTCTTGTTGATTTTGAACGGCATGATTGAGAATTAAGACGTGGCAGCCTCTTATTTAGGGCATCTTATAAATATTATATATATATATACAAATAAGAGAAATGACAACGACATTATATCCGTACGCGCAGACATACAAGCGGGCGCATGCGCGCGTTCACGTACACGCGCGCATCCACACACAATGAAAGGAAAAAAAATCAACCTTGCTAAAGTGTATATATAAAAATATATTATGTCATTCGCAGACAATACTGTTTCACTGCATCACAGCAATTCAGTGCGACTAGACATCCGAATGCCTCAAGCTAGGATTAAAACCCAACCGATTTGGTGTCAGTCAGAGTTTCTAGCATTCTTCATTGAACATAATAATCTAGCTAATTCTAGCGTATTGTTTTACGAATGTAAACAAATGCCAATCAGCCATAGGGCTCAATTCATTTTGCTGAAGAGATTTGCATTAGCGGAGGTGGCTGTTGTCATTCAACAGTGCTCAATCGAAATATATTTTCAAGGGCTAAATTATGTCATTCGCATACAGTAGTGTTTCGCTGTATTACAGCTCCTCAGTGCAACTATATATAAATTTATATGTATAAATGAAAAATATATACCAACCTCACAAAAACCCTAATACTAATCCTTTATATATCCACCCGAAGTCAAATCATCCCCATCTATAATAAAGCACGTACCTTCATCCATAGTAAAACGAATAAGCTTAAATTTTGCTAATGAAAGAATATTCTATGAACACAGTAATTTTTATAATAAAGCTTTAAAGAATAGTGGCTATAAATTCCCTGACATTAAATATTAAAATAATAATAATAATAAAAATAACCAGAGAAGAAATAGAAATAAAAAAAAAATATAAATTTCTTGCTTTAATTGAAAAAGAATTTCATAGAAATAATACGCTTAGCAAAATTTTTAATAAAAATACCCTAAAATTAAATTATATTTGTACTGATAATTTAGAAAAAAATTATAAAAAAAACACGATAATAAAATTTTAAATAAATACTTAAACAGAATTAAAAAATATATATATTGATCCAGAAATATGAATAATTAATAGTAAAGAAAAATTATGTAGTGTAGGAATCATATAAATTATCCATTAAATAATAAAAGTCTCACAGAATCTATAGTTTATTAATGTACTATCTCATCTATTGGGAATCCTAATATTAAAAAAATATATATTGGTAGCACTAAAAATAATTTTAAATTAAGGTGGTGCCAACATCTGTTTTCCTTGAAAAATAATGAGTATCGTAACCAATCACCCCTATCCAAATATTTTTAGTATTTAAAAGAATCAAGTAAAACACCTACAGTAAATGGAAATTATTAAAAAAAACGAGAATTTGTAGATCTTTAAATGATCCACATTCTTTGTGCCCACATGAAAAGTTATATTTTATTAAGCTTCTGAAAATAAATATTTTAAAATCAAAGAAAAGAAACAACTGTTTTTTGTAGACATTGCATTATGTTTAATTTAAAACATAATTAAGTAAAAAAAAAATCATAATTATTTGTCTATTATTTGATTACAAATAAGAAAGTAAGAAAATGCTTAATTAAATTCCAAAATTTAAAATTTTCATTTTAACAATACCGTATCTAGTATACTAATAAATATAGTATTTTAGATTTTATAAATAAAAATATAAATATATAAAATATGACTTGATCATATTTGAAGCCCCTTTAAGAAAATCCCAATGAATTTTATAAATAATTAAAAAAATAAATAAATAAAAATGCCAATGTATTGTAGCGTATCTTATATATACCACTAAAAAAGAAAAAAACAGACAGGTTGACACGTTCTCATATACGGAAGCCAGTATCAACAGGCAGAAATTAGAATGTAGAGGTTTAGTGAAGTTAGTTGTTCTGTGATCAGTAAGAATAAAAGTTGCATTTATATGGATATATGGGAAATATACTGGTCAACTGTAGAAATGAAGCGGTTAATAGTTTAGTGGTCGGGAAAGCATCCTCCTGGGATTGTGTTCCACAAAGCAACATTTCTTAGGAAGAAGCTATTCGAATGGAACTTACTCTTTATTGATGGAATACAAGAGGAATGAAGGTGGTTCGCCTCAATGAACATGTTTTACCAAAAAGATAAAACTGATTAAAGATTAGCTTATGTGTAGCAATAATGATTATTTCAACTTGTATTAAAAATAAAGTTAAACATATTTTAGAAACTGAAGATTATATTTTATATCAAGGGAATTTGCAAGTGGCAGTAGAAGACAATCAGTGATTCTGAAAAATTTTATTTGCATGTCAGTGATTTTCCTCTGTGAATCTGGAAAATTCTTACACGATTTGTTCGACCAGAATCCTTTGACAAAGTGAAGCATATATTAATAACAAAATATTCTACAGGACCCAGTCGAAGGAAAGACTTAAAACTCTAGAAGATGTTATTATACAAAATAATCAGCCCACATTAAATAAAATACCATTCACCACAGGAGAGGGTATTTTGAAATGTATATAATATAATTAATGTGCGCCTATAGCGATTTTTCTAAGCATAGTTTAGTTGTGGCTCAAGGCAGAGATTAAGAAGCACCCAATGAGGATCACTAATTGATCTAACGAGACAAGCTTGCTAACCATTACACCTCGTCGAAGTGATCAAATGATTATCTAAGCGTAGCTAAGATGTGGCACAAGGCCGAAAGTCTGGGGCAGTCAGTGTGGATCGAACTCACTACTCAGTCGTAATTGGTTTAGCCAGATAAACTTGCTAACCATCACACCTCGTCGAAGTGATCAAATTATTTTCTAAGCGTAGCTCAGATGTGCCACAAGGTCGAAAGTATGGGCCACACAGTGAGGATCGAACTCAATTCAGTCGTAATAGATTTCGCGAGAAAAGCTTGTTAACCATTACACCATGTCGAAGTGACCAATGTACACTTATATTAGCATGAGTAAAATTAAAAATGAATAAGAAAATAAATTATAAATAATCATCTGTGACGAAATTGTCCAGCAGTCACTGATATATACGACTAATATTAGTTTAGTTTAGCATTCCTTTCTTTGCTTCTTTCCGTTTGGGCACCTCGAGGTGGTGTAATAGTTAGCAAGCTTGTTACGCTAGAACTATTACGTCTTAATAGTGAGTTCGATCCTCACTAGGTGCCACCTACATTCGGCCTTGTGCCACATCTACGCTACACTTGGAAAATCACTAGTCTCATGCCGAACAATAAAATAATAATAATATATTCAGGTATATAGGATAATGTGTTTATCAAATCTATGCTTGTATGACCTATATCTTTCTAGCTGCGACCTGTTCCAGCTACACAGTCGAACTCTCTGCATTTGGGGAGAGAGGAACCCGGACGAGCCTCCGCTGAAGGGCAGAGTCTCGTTCAGGGAGGTAGACTGCTTCTGAACCCGTTTATACGCGTTCGAAAGGGGATATTTTTGGCCGAGCCTATCGGCTCGGAGAACCCACGTTAAAACCGGCCTTGTGCCATATGCAACCCTCGTGGGGGGGATATTCTAACGAATTTTCCGGTTTCTTCATACTCTGATTAATTTTTGGAAGGTATCCTTCGCTATCGCAATGGAACTTTCGGATTTCGAAGTCACGCTTTCAGTTCTCTGTTAAGACATTTCCCAGAAATTTAATGATTCGAACTTTCTTGAATTTGGTATAACCAATTCATAGTTCCTTCTCACAGTTGATGATTACTCCTTCTTTCTTCTCAGTTTCATTTAGTGCTTTCTCTAAGAATTCGTACAATGTTCTTCAAACTGTGTCCGTCAATAATAAATCCTGGTAGGACTTCTAGTCCTTTCGCCTCTCTGTATAGGTTGAATAAGTCTGGTGAGAAGTCACATCCTTGTCTGACCTTTCTATTTTTGCCTATTTACTGAAATCGTTTTCTATTCACCTATCTTCTTTCATGTGCCTTGTTCCTTCTTGGTGTGGGTGATCATGGCTCACCACAATTTCCTGTCCTTTGTAGCTCTAAGTAAATATTGTTTTTCGCTATCTCTCCTAATTCCTGTTCTGCCAACCAATCACAAAAGCTTGTTACGTAGTTCATGTGCCGCTTTCCTCTGTCCCTCTTGCTTTTAAAATGTCCTGTCAGTGTCAAAGTTTCTAATGGATGTTAAAATTTAATATCATCTCTTTAAATTAGAACTCTGCTATTTTAGAATGACAAGAAGATCCACTTAAATGGCTGAATATTCCTAAATATATCTGTCAAAATTAAAGTGAGAAAAGATTTATTGATTATGTAATAAAAGCCACAGCTTTCCGAATAGGTTACAATATCATGACTATATTTTGAATTTGTTTCAATCAACTAAAATTCCTAAATTTGAAAGTCAATGGCAATTTTCTGAAGGAAAATATACAAACCATAATTTCTGTTATATTTAGCGCATTAATTAAATACTTGTCAAAAAACTGACTAGCAGTCGCAGGAAACATTTATTTTTTCTTGATCAAAGATCTTTTTACAATCTGGAAATTTACAATTTAAAATTTTGAACTACCCTAATACATACACACATACACGAGTATACAAGCATAAATATTATACAATTTCACTATATATATTATTTAGTATATATATATATATATATATATATATATATATATATATATATATATATATAATAATATAGTAAATGCTAAAGAGAACACACACTGACATACACAAACGAGCTCACAATCACACAGACATAAAAAAAAAATACACAAAAGAAGAATAAATCAAAATAAAATTAAAATGAAGATAGATAGATTCTCAATATAGATAAAGTAAATTCTCTTTATGTTTTCTAAAAATTAGTGCGCCTATTTGCGTTTGCGTCTATAATATATCTATATATATATATTTGTCGCAATATATTTCTGTAAGGTATTAATATCAGAAATAGTTCCTTTTAGATATAAAAGTGAACATTGAACTCAATTTTCAGAGCCGACAGACTGTTTACCCCATAAAGATAAAGCATCTTGCCAAATTTTATAAAACATAGATTAAATATTTAAATATCATATCATAAATCTATATATATATTCAATTTTATTCTATTCTCTGTGT